AGGAAAGACTGGCTTCTGATCAAGCTGTTGTTAAAGATTTGCTTGGGGCTGTCGATGGTAATTTTACTAATCTGGGCGTTAAGGTTCTGCGCATTGGAAAATTTAGACAAGGCTCGACCAGGCCAGTAAAGGCAATCTTTCACTCAGAGGATATGGTTCATACTATAATCAAGAAGACTAATACCCTAAAAAACAATGAAAAATATAAAAATACATCGGTTGCTTTTGATAAAACTCCAAAACAGATGGAGCTCTATCGCTACTTAAAGAGCAAACTGAATGAAAGGATCGCGCAAGGTGAAAGTAACCTCAGAATTAAATATTTCAATGGGGTTCCGAAGATTGTTACTTTAAACGCATAACTGAACCCAATGACAGACCAAATTGTCATGAGAGACTTAAGCTAAGGTGTTCCTACCAGAACGTTCGTGGTCTCAATTCTAAGACGGTGTCATTCTTCAATGCAGTCAGTGACTACGAATTTGATTTAATTTGCTTGACTGAGACGTGGCTGTCTGTGAATGTGAGTGATAGTGAATTATTTCCGGCTGAATACTGTGTGTTCAGATGTGATCGTGACTGTATTCGATCTGGCCTAGTTTCCGGCGGAGGAGTCCTGATAGCCATAAAACGCGATTTCCATGCAATTAGAATTGACGCTAGTGCTTTGAGTCGAAACTTTCCGTCGATTGATACTGTATGTATTAGGCTTATTATTCACCATGAGCATTTTGTTATCTTTTCTATTTATATTCCGCCTTCAATTAATTTGGACATGTTTGGTCAGTACCTTGAAGCTTTGGAAGTATTTAACAATGCATTCAGTAATTGTAAAATAATTGTTGCTGGTGACTTTAATGTCGCATCATTCAACAGTGACGTTAATGATCAGAAGTCTCAATTAATGAGCAACTTTATTTCGTTTTTAGATTTAACTAACTTTAATAATATTCCAAATATAAATGGTCGAATGCAGGATTTAATTTTAGGAAATATCGAAATAGAAGTCCTCAGAGATAATACACCTTCTGTTAAAGAGGACGTTCATCATGCTGCACTGATCATGGAATTCATTACATCCGGATCTCCAACGAAATTCCCATTTGCTAATTCTCCACGGTTTAACTTTCGCAAAGCTAACTTTCCTGAAATGTACACAGCCTTGCAAGATGTTAATTGGACGAAGGTGATCAGTGCAGTTATTGTTGATGTCGCTTCTATCGCCTTGTATTCAGTTATCAATAACATCTTTGAGGTCCATGTCCCTAAATGTAAAAATAAAATGTTACACGTGAAATTATACTTAATATCAAGAAGAAGGACATAGCAAGAAGGAACTGGAAACGTAACGGTACTAAGTTTTCTTATGATCAGTTCAGTAATTTTAGGAAGCTCATTAAGAACCAGATCAGTGTTGCCTACTCCGCTTACGTCCAATCGGCTGAGGATGCCATTGTCAATGATCCTAGCAAATTCTGGTCATTTGCCCAGATCAAAAAACAGCAATCTAGAATCCCCCCAGGATGACGCTTAACGGCAATGTCTGCGATACGCCTCAGGATATAGTGGACAGTTTTGCTACCTTCTTTTCAACAGTTTTTATCCCGTCTGGTGTACTAGGGTCATCTCCTCCAACAAATAATTATACCGATATCATTTCTTTAAAAAATATAAGTGAAGAAAACGTAATTAATGACGTATTAATGACTTGTCTTTTAAACTGAAGAGTTTCCATTTGTTTTTCGCTGATGACCTTAAAATCTGCACGTCAGTCAAGACAGTCGAGGATTGCGTCATGTTGCAAGATGACTTAGCTCTAATTTCGTCATGGTGTTCACGAAACTGTCTCAGTCTGAATGTTTCGAAATGTAAAGCTATGACTTATACAAGAAAAGTGAACTATTTAATTTATGATAATTATAACATCAATGGTCAGGTTATAGACAGATGCACCTCTTATAGAGACCTTGGAGTCATTTTTGATACCAAGCTAACGTTTACTGAGCATATACTCAATATCTCGTCGGCTGCCACTCGACTACTTGGTTTCTGTATCAGAAACTGGAAGGGTTTCTCCAATGTTGATACATTAATGACTTTATTTTTTACTTTTGTCAGGAGCAAGTTGGAGTATGAGACTCTGATCTGGTCTCCTATATACCAAAATTCTGTCGTGACCCTTGAGGCCATTCAACGTAAAGCTTTAAAGTATTTTCACCTTAAATGCACAGGTTCTTATCCAGAAAGAGGTTGTGACCATAGTGCCCTATTAGAGTCTTTCAATTTGGATTCACTGTCAACAAGACGAAACATATTTGCTTTGTCGTTTTTGTATGGCCTCATTCACAATAAAATTGACTGTCAAAATTTACTTGAAAAAATATGTTTCCGCGTTCCAAGGCTAGGGAGTCGACAACAAACGGCATTCTATTGTCAAGCTGGCCGTACAAATGTTATGACAAAATCGCCAATTAATCTCATGTGCTGCGTCATGAACAGTGTTACTGAATCGTGTGATATTTACAGTGACAGTTGTGCATCGATTATTAACTGCTAATCTTATTTAGAATGTGTGATACTATAGATTTAAGTCCAAGAACCATGTCTCTTTAATTGTTATTTTTTTCAGCGTTTCCTGTAATTGGGTTTCACCTGTTGGAAATAAATAAATAAATAAGCCCTTTGTAAGAATCAGTATTGGTACGGATTGAAGGGCTATGAAATTTTATCGCGGTACGCGATGTATCCTGGAACAGCAAATTTTCTAATTTTCAGAAATTAATTATACCGCTCCGATCAACATTTATTGAACCTTGTATGTTTGCGTTTTGGCATCAAAATAGGTACGATTTGACTAGTTTTTATCGTATCATCCCAGTACGCGATGTAATCAAAAATGTGCGGTCGGCTCTCCAACTATCACTGCTTCTTTATACAGGGTGGCCAGTATATAACTGACTGACTTATATTGCGCGCCATTTTTGATACACGCATTAAATTGTTAGATAATGACTCGAATAAAAATAATATGCCCAGTGTCAACACCATTCGTGAGCTGGTGCGGAAATTTGAACAAACAGGTGAAGTTAAAGACTTGCCAAGGTCGTGCCGTGTTCGCACTGTTCGTACTCCGGAAAATAACGGGAGTTCGTGAAAGTGTAGGAGCGCCCTGAGACGTCTACCAGACATCGTTCTCAAGAATTGGGTATTCGTCGCACGTCATTATGCACTATTTTAAAAAAAGTCGTCTATTTGCAAAATTTAGTTATCCCAAGAACTACAGCCTAGTGACCATGCCGACAGCCATGCAATATTGCAGCTTAATACTGATTTTTACTGACAACTGATAATGAGCGATGAAGCCCACTTCGATATGAACGGATTTGTTAATAAGCAGAATTATCGAATCACAGTTTGGTAACACTGATCAACAGCCAAAAAATATCCTAAATAAAATCAACAAAATATTACTATTTTTAATGTGCTAAAACCGGAATGAAAGTTATTTTTTCAATATTAGTTCAAGTTTTAGAGATACGGTAATTATATGTGTTCCTGCTGTGACAGTGTTAATATACTGTAATTCACAAGAATGCACGTGCTACATTTTTATATTCGGCAAGGAAAGATGATGTAATCGGCATGATTGTGTTACGTTATACATACGTGTACATTATATTGTTTTATATTAGCCATTTTTTCGTCAGTTGGCTGACAGCGTTCATGCAAGATGTCTCGAAAGTGTGTAAGCAATCCAGATCAGTTTTGTTACGTGTGTGGTGATGTGACTTTTCAGAGATAACAAAAAAGTGATTCTACTAGTCTTGTCTGTATACCTGGGCAATATACTATTTCTACTTAGTTTCCTTTTGCAAAACCAGACGACCACAATTGCTACGGCTGTTGCAACTATTTCCATGGACTTTATACTGCTGCATATAATGCTTTGATATGAGGCATTGTGTCTACACCGTCGCATTCTCGTGAGTACCTACATTAAAATGTCGTTCACAATATCCCGATTCGCGTTCCACCGGCGAGATTAGGTTGGTAATTTTAGTATTTGCATGACAAATACAACCACATTTCCAGTAATTAATGCGTATTGGTGGCCCGATAGGTTAAATCTATACTAAGTGACATATAAATCCGAACACCCAGTTTAAATGGTTTTATTTTAATAAAATTTTGTAAAACTGTGGATTCCTCCTTTCACCACGTCGCCTTCTAACCCTGGCACGACCATCGTGCATGCCTAAACAAAATCGAGACTCGTCACTAAAGACAATACTGTTCCATTCCTGATCCCAGAGTGACCGTTGTCTGCACCACTCAAGGCGATTACGTCGATGTTCTTGAGTTAAAGGGAGGACCCAGTGAAGGCGTCACACCTAACCACAGTGTCTACACTTCTTTGCACTCTAACAGCAATTGCCCGAAAAGAAAGTCCAGCTTCCCGAAGTCCCACTATACGGCCCCTATCAAACTCACTAAGTTGACGAAATCGTACAGGTCTCCGTACTCTAGGCATCGTAACCGATCGTAAAGGATGTCAAGAACCAAAATCCGCCAACGTTGATTCTTTACTGCGGCTGAAATATTCATTTTTAGAGCGTTAGTGAATTAAAACAAAAGCAGTATAAAAACCGGAATGTCCAACTGATAAGGCTGAAAATTTTTTCACTTGTTATTTACAGTAAGATAAATACATTCACCAACTTTTATTAAAGTAAAACCATTTAAACTGGGTGTTCGGATTTATATGTCACTTAGTATATTTGGAGACGTTTGAAAATGCTTGACCCCAATAAAAAAATCAAGTCAAACATTAACGTTTCAAGTAATTTTATTTTTAGGTTCAGTCAAATAGCTTACAAAAATATAAACTAGATGAATCTCTAGTTTTGTGCCTTCGGCTGGCGTTCTTCCATACAACGCGTAAGATGTACCGCTTGTTACTGCCCAACGTCATGTACGCATTCCTAGACATCCAATCCTACCGTCGCGTCGTCCCAATAAAATGCTCAGCTACAATTTTCTTGCTCACATGACAGAAAGCTTCTGGATCCACTAAGCGACCTTTCCATCCTAATTCATCCACTTCCATATTTTCATTAGTACTCACAACTATGTTTACCTTGTTCCGGTTTGCGACTCGTTTATAATGTAGTTGTGATAAATTTCATATCTTGATGACTGTCTGGTTGGCAATGGGATCTTTTGGACAGTCGTAGCTGTTGCTAAGCAAGAAATTTGCACTGAGAAAGCCTCGTCAATTCTTGAGAATTTTCATTGCCCGTAATACTCTTTTTTAGTAATTCTAAGTAACTAAATTATTTACTTAAAATTAACTGAATTTTCTAGAACTAGTAAAATATAAAGTAATAAAGCTATAGTCAACGCCAAACAAAGTGGCGTGCACGTCATCAAGGTGGGTGTGTTGAAAAATTTACATTGTTGCCAAACTTTTTGTAAAATAATAAAATTTATTATTTACATATCTAGGTTTATAAGCAATATTAACCTCAAATGAGAACAAAAATAATAGTATAATAAAATTATAGATCTGTACTTGCATAATCATTAAGTATGACAATTATTGATCAGATGACACTATGAAACTACCATATTTAATTGATAGCTTAAAGGTACTGAATAAAAATCCAAATGGGGTCCTCCAAATTTTATGCATGGTATTTATTTTACAGAATTCATACAGAAAAATGCATTCTAAAATTAGGTAAGCTACTGGTGTAAGCTTTTTCTGTACAATAAAGTTAGTCGGAGTTTTTTTCTTCAGCGCTGTCTGAATCTGAATCTTCATCACTCTCAAAGTTGATTATTAAAGGTTCGATGTCTGGTCGATCAAAAATTCGTTCTCTTTCATACCATTTAAAAATTTCTTGCTCAGTATGTCGAACACTATTTTTCCACATGTCTGGGGTAACCGTTTGTAGAGCCTCGTTCCACATATAAAAACAGTCTTTTTCACTGTTACCATCTCTACCAATATGTCTGTTATAGTAACCTTTTGCTATGCCCCAAATTAACTCAATAGGGTTAAATATACAATGGTAAGGAGGCAGACGAAGAACTTTGTGCCCATGTTGTTCCGCCAATTCATCAATCACATATATTTTAGGTGGTTTGTTTCTAAAAAAGCAGTTATTTTAAGAATAGGAATAAACAAAAGAAATATAAACTGTCGACCAAAATATATATAATTAAGAAGCATTATGTACCGAGCAACAATACTCAATAGCTCTGTTTTAAACATTGTGTTTAAAAATGATATGTTTTGATTTGTCAACCAGTCTTGGATATTTTTTTTTTGTCCATGCATTGTTGGGCACTTTGTTCAATATCATGCTGTGATAAGGGGCGTTATCCAGTATAATCATAGATGGACTCTCCAATTTTTCTAATAACTGATGTTGAAACCATTTCAAAAAATTGTCCTGGTTCATCTCTCCATGGTAATAGCTCAATTTTGTTTTCGAAGAAAATATCGCTTCACTACCCTCAATAAACCCATTTTCATTTCCAGCATGTAATATAATGTATCTAAAATATATTAGTTTTAAATTTTATAGTGCAAATTGTGTAAAAGTACATACCTTTTACCATCTGTTTTAATAGCTTTCACGCTTTTTTGGTTTCCATTTTGCCAAGAGCGACCTATGGTCCCATTTTGAAATATCCAAGTTTCATCGAAGAAGACAAACTGGTATAAGGCCTCAACCTTGGCTTGATTGTATTGCCTTAGAAATTCCACCCTTTTCAAAGCTATACTTGGTAGTTCCATGAGCCCTCGTCGCGGATTGTCCTTAAGCCACTTAAATCCAAGATCTCTAAGCAACCGCCTTAAAGACGTGGCACTACCATCAAATAATGCCCTATCTCTTAATCGAGACCATAAAGTTTGTATCGTAACTTGTTCTTCTGAAACCATGTGTAATATGACATTATAATTTAGTTAACAAATTAATGCAAATTTCTGATAAGTTATTATAATAAGATCTTACTTTTGTGATACATATTATAGATCACTTCTCGAATGCCACTTGTATCCAATGTCGCTGTGTTGCTTACACGTTTAATATAACTCCGCTTTTTCTAAATTTGCATCACTTTTCACACCCTCGGAAATACGGCTAACTGTCCTTAAACTAATTTTTAAAGCAGCAGCAACACGCTACAAAAAATGAAATAAAATTTCACTATTATTAATATACATTACATATAATTATTAGTAACCTACCTCTTGAACAGCATTTAAAGGCAACAAAGGCCCGTTGTTGTCCCTTTCTTGCTCAAAGTAGTGCATTAACGAGGCCACGAGTTCCTTACACCGACTATTTAACTGTTTGGGCATCTTTATATACCAAAATTGCCTTTATCTACTCGTAAAATGAATAATTTTGTTTTGAAACAAACAGTTGTTGATTTACAGTATGCGGGGCCAAAGGATTTATAAAGATTTGAAATGCCACAAATTGATTCAGTGTCAAAATTAATACAAATGTCAGTTCCCAGTTTAAATAAGTTTCAAGGTGACAATGTGTCAACGCTGCGAAATCGGTTTAGTGCGTTTACATGTCGATAAGTGATTGGAGCGTTTGCAAAACATTTTATTTCGCATAATGCGTCTAAATTTATCAGAAAGCAACTTATGTGATATTTTAATAACAATGTTTATATGACTATTAACCATAATAAGAGAGTAATGGCCATTTTACAATTTATATATCACATTAATATGAAACTGCAATAGAGCAATTGTTTGTGATAGAAACCTAGGCATTAGGTCGGGGAATTTTTATCGTGATGACGTGCACGCCACTTTGTTTGGCGTTGACTATATTAAACTAATTTGGTTGAAAACAGCAAACCATGTGCCTATTTTATTAAATTGTTCAATTCGTTTAGGTAATTTAGTTTATGTAGAAATTGTACATTTAAAACAAGTAAAAGTTTTAATAAAAACAGCTAAACAGTTTATTAGAATCGCGGACTCGGATCCGGATTTAAGTCTCATATTCGAATGTTGCCGTTATCGGTGTGATGACTGTAATGTGGGCAATTATGATGAGCAAGTGCAGTACTCGAGCATACCGTGCACATAATTTTAATTTTAAATAAAATATATTACTAAAACTAGGGAAATACTTTTACCTAAGCGACTTATACAAATTTAATAAATTAAAATGTTTTACTTGGAGCAGGTAAACTATTTTAGTAGTTCATTAATTTTAAGCGAAATAGCGTGCTCAATTTGAGTAAACGGTTTAATAAATCTAATTAAATGATTGCGTCTTGGTTTAATTATACTATTTTCATAGATTCGAGTAATTTGTTTCGGAAATCTGAGTCAATCAAACTTCTTAGCTGACACATAGTTGATTAAATTTTTTAATTGACTTGGACAACAATTTAATTGGTTTAATTATTTTTTTCCTCGGTATGATATTTTGGCCTTATCCCAGAAATCTCAGCTCAGGTCAGTTTCCGAGTCACTTGTGTATCATAGAGTTTTGGCCTGCAGTGGAAGTCTTCTCAATCTCGTCACCCATTCTGCTACTGTGATGAAACAATTATTATCAAAACTGACTGCTCCGTTCGCGGCCATTAAAAAATAAGAGTATATAATTATTCAGGAGTTGGCCTACTACTACTGTATTACAAAACATCATAACGTCGCGAAGCGATGATTTCTATACTCTTATCGCAAACGGCACAGCTGTTATGCATGGGTTGAAACAAAACAGAAAATGACACGATGTCCACCAAGCTGGTAGATAAATAATCAATAGATGTTTGAGTGAATGTGCGGCGAAGACAAAGGCCACGTTTGCATTCCCTTTACACCTATAATAAAAGAAAACGTGTGACAAGAATAAAACCGGAGCGGTAACATCAACTGTGGGCTTTCTAATTCCAGTCGGACGTTTATGGAGTGAGCTTATCTAGTCTTTTGTAACGGTGTTAGTTCAGTTCTCTCGATATTACCAATTCTACATTAGGCGAGGATTATAGCTTCGGAGCTGGCGACAAAGCGAGACTTACTTGGAAAGTTCAGATATCTTGATGAAGCGTACAATTTCCAATAATTACTGTTACTCGGTTGTACAGTCGCTAAAGCTGTTTCTCAAAATCTTATTACAAAAACGTGTATAGTTCACGACAACATTTTGCTGGAATCACACAATGTTGTTATAGTCTAATGACGATTGTACAAAATGCAAGTTTGCTTTTATACAGGATGTTCCTTAAGGATATGCGAATATTTAAGGGTGTAAATCTACATAAAAAATTAATGTTAGTTTGCTTTATAAACTACGGTCCAAAAATGTTTTCTTACGAAAACTCGGGGTGTTGAAGTTTTAGGAAAAAATGAAAATTAATTAATATTTTCAGAACCGCTTCAGATATTTCACTGATATTTAGTACCTAGTGAGAGTTAATAAAGTTGCATATTTTTCAATGCAAAAATAATGTTTAGCTTTAACAGTGGCGTACGTACGGGTATTGACTTCGATATCAAGTGCTCCAGTAGTTCTTTTCATCGAAATTGTCCCGATTCGGTCACAAATGTCTATGGTTTTTACTTCCTATGCCAAAAAGGGGGAGAAAGTATTGTAATCGCGAAAAATTGAGATATTATGTTTTTTGGATGATGTGTGACATGTACAACACGAAAAACCGTTTCCGTGTCGTCTGTCTGTCGGTCTGTCCACTAGTTTTATCTTTACACCAGGTTACTACTATGCCAAGAATGAGAATACTTCGTGGTTTTTAAAAATTGGAGAATAAGACAGAAAATGAAAAATAAAAAATAATAAACGCTCAAACTTCGGTTTTTAATGTTTTTAAGGGTCCGGATCATTTTCAGAAAAATATTTGTCCGGCGATTCGATGCACCTATTAGACGTATTTCACACATCATAGATTTACCCGTACATTTGCCTTTGAAACTTGAATGATAATTAAATGTTTTCGATCCGCGTACTCGTGCCTAAGTAAGCAAACCGCCTGGAGAACTAGTCCGGCTTATATATGTATCCGTACTGAAACCCAAAAAACATACGGAGCTTACACGAACCGAAA